GTTGGCGTAATTCCTTTATTAAAGTGATAATAAAATAGCGACCATTTTCTCGAATTATTTTCTCGGCTTCGTGGTCAAAAGCGTTTGTGCTTACTTTTGTTTTTAAATACTCTTCAAAACTGTGATAAAACTGAGGAAATGGAGCAAGGTATGGTTCCAACGGGGAGCATACAGGATCAAATGTGTCCGCGCTAATAACCACTAGGGAGCATAGATGCGAAAGTAAAACATTGAGTTCATTAAAAATCTTCATTGGGTCTGCATTATTGCTTTCGAACAACTTGTTTACTTTTTGCACCTGAAAATTAGGCAAATAGTAAAATCGGCTAAAAACGGCTAACTTTTTTTTACAAACCGGCTAACAAATCGGCTGCCGGCTAGATCGAATTTTCTCCGGCTAGTTGCTATCAAAACCGGCTAAATCTAGCCGGAAAACGGCTAAAATGGCAACGCTGGTGGCAATTTAGTTGTCCAAAAAAGAAAAACAATTCAAGAAACATTTAGTTATTTAACAACAATACTTGTTGTGCTGCGCGACAACTTCCATTCTTGCTGTACATATGTATTTTCTTGCATAGTACATAGAATCCGTTCTTTGTAATCACCACCGTGAGTTGGAGCAATTGTGGTGTGATTGTGAAACGGTCACAACTGTAACTTTGCGTACATATATAGCCCTTGGCTAGTACATACAATCCGTTCCTTGTAGTCTGGACGGTAAACTTGCGAGTTTGTGGCGTGATCATTAAACGGTTATCCATCGGTCCATCGCTTAACAGTTTCTATAGATTTTTGCATACGTTTGCTTTATATTCGTTGCGTTGCCACTCAAGTTATTCATCTCGAACCTTCAATATGCCTCTTAGCCCAGCTAATGGTTCTGCCATCGGGGAAGATTCATCAAACACTGCTCCAGCGAGTGGGCAAGTGTCTTCAGACCGAGTGTTGTTTTTGAAGTCAAAAACAATGTCCCTATTCAACCGACTTGAGCGCATAGCATCAGAATCGGACGCGGAAAAGCTCCAAGGCATGGATGAGTACGACTTAGCAGCACTTGTCGAATTGTTAGGTGAATTAAAATCAGCCTTTACTGTCGCTCACACCAGTTTGGAGGAACTGGATTTCCCTTCCATTGCCAGTGTTCTTCCCTGCAAATTTGATTCCACGGTAACAAATCTTAAGGTGAACCTGAAACGAGAGATTAGGAAACGTACTACATCTCACCACTGCTCGACATTCAGAACGAATGCCGGCGATTCCCAGTCGATCATCGTGAACGCTAATCCTTCTCGCTTGCCTTTGCTGACGTTGCCTAAATTTAGTGGTGCCGACACTGAGTGGATGAACTTCCTTTCGATGTTCATCTCTGTCATCGATAAGGATAGCGACCTAACGCAAACCGATAAACTGCAGCATCTACAGTTCCTGCTTGAGTGGTGCAGCACTGGATACCATTCGATCGCAAGAGATAAACGAGGCTAACTACAAAACTGCGTTAGAACTTCTTAAAAAACGATTTGATAACAAAAGACTTATCTTTCAGGCGCACATCAGGGAGATCTTTGGGTTGGACAAGGTAGGCACATCCGTTAGCAAGCTACGAGAGTTGACGTACAAAGTCACTTCTCATATACGCGCGTTGCAATCACTTGCGTCCAAGGAACAAATCGCAGACTGTATCATCATACAATTGTTAACTCAGAAGCTGGACAAGGCAACCCAAGCTAAATGGGAGGAGAATTCTTCGAGCAACGAGCTGCCGTCGTGGGACCAGTTAGCTAACTTTTTAGAGAAGCGCTGTCGAACCCTCGAAAATGTAGAGCATACCATGTTAGAGGAAGGATTTCAGGTTGAAAAAAATGGAAAAAACGTGAGTACCAATCAAAATAAATCATTTCTTGCTTCGAAAGACTCTGTGTGTGGTTGCGCATTTTGTGGATCGGCTGATCATCTCATTTTCCAGTGCCAACGGTTCGCAAATTTATCGCCAAACCTTCGTCAGAAAGAGGCCAAGAAACTTTATCTTTGCCTTAATTGTCTAAAGGCGGGTCATCAGATGCGAGATTGTAAATCTGGATCTTGTCGCAAATGTCAATCGAAGCACCACACACTTCTACATTTTGATCGTACAAGTATAGCTTCACCTCTAACTCGAGGTGCGGTTTCTCAATCCACTACAGCTCAGTCGAACGCAATGATTGCAACGTCGCCTGCTCTTCCGCAAGCCCTTACTTCACAATCACCATCTGATGCTGTGTTTTTAGCCACTGCGATAATTCTTGCTAGAAATCGTGCCGGAACTTTCGTCCCGTGCCGCGCACTGTTGGACTCCGGTTCCCAGCCGCACTTTATTACAACTCGTTTTGCCAATCAATTACAACTTTGTAAAACCAAATCCTCGGCTGCCATTTCGCGCATTGGGGATGCCAATTTCTCCACAGAGTCGCGGGCTTCAGATTTTTCTACACGTATTAAAGACGTTGTTGCCCAAACAATCACTGAAAATCACCCAATTTTTCGGTAGTCACGGCGGACTGGAACGTTCCTTCAAACATTCAACTAGCTGACCCAAATTTCAACTTACCACAGCGCATTGATTTGCTCGTCGGAGCAGGATTGTTTTTCGAACTACTTTGTGTGGGGCAGATTCAGTTGCCCCCCCGGCTGCCAATACTTCAAAAACCCTTCTGGGCTGGGTGATATCCGGCGGTGGTCAACAGTCGTCAAGGCTCTCGTCATTTATAGTTAACAAAAGGTCTTCCAGCTGCGAAGATTCGAGCACTAGACTAGACGATTTAGTACGTCGTTTTTGGGAGGTTCAGCATGTTTTCGAACCAATCGTTAGGACAACTAAAGAAGAGCTTGACTGTGAGGCGCATTTCAAAAATAATATTTCGCGTTTGATCTCCGGTGAGTACTCAGTTCGACTGCCACTGAAGCTCCCTCCTGAGACATTAGGCGATTCAGATCTGCAAGCTAAGCGCCGTCTCGAAGGTCTTAAGCGGAAACTAGCCCGAAATCCTGACATGAAGGCAAACTATTCAGCACATGTCGCTGGTCTCCAGCGCATCCGTTCAAGAGTGTAAATATTTCTTACCTCATCATTGCGTCATGAAAGACGATAGCTCCACAACAAAGCTCAGAGTCGTATTTTATGGTTCTGCTTCCACAAACTCGGGGTTGTCTTTCAACGACTTACTCATGGCGGGGCCAACGATTCAGCCCAAAACTCTTCGATATTCTCGTTCGATTTCGCTGATTCCCCGTTGCACTCACCGGGGACATATGCAAAATGTATCGGTGCGTTCGAGTTGCTGCACCCGATAACATGCTGCAATGCATATTGTGGCGTAACTCGCCAGAAGATGAATTCGGCGTCTATAAGCTGGATACAGTTACGTATGGAACCAAGCCAGCAGTATTTCTGGCCATACGGGCAAAGCATCAGCTCGCCTCGGATGAGTCCTCATCTTACCCCTTAGGCGCACAAATCGTTATGCGCGACTTCTACGTAGATGATCTGATATCCGGTGGAAACACGGTAGAGGAAGTACTCGAAATCAGACATCAAACGACCAGCCTCCTCGCTCGCGGCAATTTCCGCTCACGGAAGTGGTGCTCCAATAGCCAGGAGATCTTGGGTGATATCCCTGATGCTGATAGAGAAAGTTTTCTGAAATTTGATGACGGTAGCAACATCACCAAAGCATTGGGTCTTGTATGGGATCCACTCAAGGATAGTTTCTTGTTTGCTTTCACTCCCCGAATCACACCTGGCAGGAATTCCAAACGTTCTGCATTGTCTACCATAGCTCGTTGCTATGATCCACTTGGACTTATTGGTCCGACTCTAACCAAGGCGAAAATTATTATGCAGCGTATGTGGAGGGATAAACTTGAGTGGGACGAGAGCCAACCGCAATCGCTTGATACAGTTTGGTCTGCGTTCTGCAAGGACTTCGTCGACGTGCATCACTTATCATTCCCGCGTTATATCGGGGCCACACAGGAAGTCGCATTTTGCGATGCCAGCCTCGAGGCATACGGCGCTTGTATTTATGCTCGCTCAATCAAAGATGGCCACATTCAAGTTCATCTATTGTGTTCAAAGGCTCGAGTCGCCCCGCTGAAGACGCTTACTGTGCCAAAGCTAGAGCTCTGCGTTGCTGGTTTACTAGCGCATTTAGTAGCCGAAATCGCAAAAACGAAGGCGTTTGATTGCTCGTTTTACTGCTGGTCGGACTCGACTGTGGTGTTGTCATGGCTGAAGGAAGTACCCTCTAAATTCAACGTGTTTGTAGCTAATCGGCATGCAGTGGCGCTACGTCCCTACAGCCATGAACCCAGCGGATATTTTGTCTAAAGGAGCTGCGCCTGCTGAGCTGTCACGTTCAACGCTTTGGACCCACGGTCCACCATTCTTGGAGGTAGCAGAGCACGATTGGCCAGATATCACCGTGTCCCATACCAAACTTCCAGAAATTCGCCAAAGGTCTCTGGTGACTTTAAACGATAGAATCGATATCTCACTTTCTTTTGAATACATAAACTCTTTTAGCACAATGCAACGCATTTTTGGTTACGTGCATAAATTTTTAAACATACGCAGATCGAAAGGAACGCCGCATCTCACCTGTGAAAACGTTCATCAAGGAACTCAACTTTTAATTCGCCTCGTTCAAAGAGCGCAGCTTTGGCCAGAGTACGATGCGCTGAAGAACAATAAAAGTGTCCACCCTTCAAGCAGCATCGCTTCGTTGTCACCATTTTTGGATGACCTGGGAGTTATTAGAGTTGGTGGCCGACTAAAGCATTCAACGCTCGGCTTCGAAGCACGACATCCAGGCATTCTTCCGAAGGATCATCCTTTAACGTTCGCCATAATTACGTATTTCCATCGCGAGTGTCACCACGCAGGCCCCCCAGTCCCTTCTAGCTTCAATTCGCATGCAGTACTGGCCCATAGGTGGAAGAAAGACTGTGGCACGCGCCCTACGAAAATGCGACTTTTCGAGCACAACATGGCGGATTTGCCAAAAGAACGCATTCAAGCCTCGCGTGTCTTTATCATCTCTGGAGTGGACTTTTGCGGGCCATTCTATTATAAGCCCGAAGCGCGCAGTAAATCGCCCCAGAAATGCTATATCAGCGTATTCATTTGTTTTGCAACAAAGGCCGTTTGGATGGAACTGGTTAAGGACCTTTCAACTGGTGCTTTTCTGGATGCTCTAAAACGATTTGTCGCTACGCGTGGTACACCAAGCTGCATCTGGTCTGACAACGCAACTAATTTTGTAGGCGCTAGGAACGAGCTGAAAGGGTTACGACGCCTGTTTCTCAGTGAAAGGCATCGTAGTGATGTTCACGCGCACTGCCTTAACAATGGTTTCGATTGGCGATTCATACCGCCTCGTTCGCCGCACTTCGGTGGCCTTTGGGAGGCCGAAGTAAAAATGGCAAAGCAGCATTTGTATCGCACTGTTGGAACTGCAATTCTTGGTATCGGCGAATTGCACACATTGGTATGTGAAATCTCTGCCATAATAAATTCTCGCCCACTTGAGCCAATTTCAGATAATCCCGACGATATTGACGTATTGACGCCAGGTTATTTTCTTATCGGTGGCCCCCTTACAACACTTCCAGAACCGGACCTTACGCCACTAAATTACAATCGGCTCGATCGCTGGCAGCGCGTTACCTATCTGCAACAAATCTTCTGGAGGAGGTGGAGTGAAGAATACTTGACTCTTCTCCAGCAGCGCGCCAAGTGGCGCACTCCCCTGCCCAATATCCAAATTAACGACGTTGTATGCATCAAGGATGAAAACTCTGCGCCAATAAAGTGGCCGTTGGCTCGCGTCACTGAAGTCATCACTGGTATAGATGGTGTTGCTCGAGTTGCAGGCCTGCGTATCCCCACTGGCATTACGCGTTGAGCAGTGAATAAGCTGTGCGTCCTTCCTGTTAAGGATTCTGTTTAAAGCCCTGACCTTTCAACGGAGGGGAGGATGTTCGGAGCAGCAGCTAGAACCTAACTGGAAGAAAATCATTTTACATCATATTACTTATGTGCACTACCCTGCGTGGTAGTTAAAAACTAGCTTTATAATACCATAACTTAATATTCCTTTAATTTTTGGTACATTTGGCCACCTTAATCTTATCACTTGCGCTCAATATCGGTATCAATCATTCATGCAGTTTTTTCTCACTGGCCTTCTATCTCCATCCTTAGCTACGGTATATGTATGAGATTCGCTTTTTCTGACACTCGATTTTGGACATTAACTGGCCACGTAGTAAAAACATTGTCTTGAAATAAATTACAACTAAACTAAAACCACAGTGCGTTTAATGATTTTGGACATTCATAGCTGCAAAAAAGGCTTTGTAGCTCAACACCCATTTTTTTCAAAATTCAGTTTTTGATGAAGAATGGCAGGTAATACGAAACCACATCGAAGGAGCAAACCACAAAGCTGCATTCACTCAAGAGTCCCGATGGATTTTTAACGCAGAACTCTCTGTTCTTCTAGAGACTCAATTTCGTGGAAATCAAGTGATGGTTTCTCCTTCCTCTCCCTCGACTGGTGAGGGAGGGTATGCGAGAACCACAGTGTCAAGGTATAACTGGTTTGTTACCAGAAATGTGGCCAATGAAGATGCCCTAAGATATGCTATTGAGTCTTTTGACAGTCTCAAATCGCCCGGTCCGGATGGCATCCTACCTATAGTACTTCAAGAAGGTGTTGAGCTTTAGTTGGCGGGCTTGCAAAATATTTTCACAGCATCGCTTGCACTTGCCTACATACCACAAATAAATTAGATTTGTTCTATGCTGGCGTAGCTGGTCATCACTATTCAGGAAAAATGGGGTCCGTATGTCGCGTGCGGAGTTAACAATATTTGCCTTCAAAGTGACATGCTTACAATAATTTATTTATAGGAAATATGCAAAATATGCAAAATATGCAAAATATATACAAACATATGCAAAATATACACAAAAATATACAAAAAATAACATAATAGGTCCAAATGAACTCACTTCCTTCTATAATGAGTTTTTTTTTCATAAAACGATGTGGGGAGTTGTAATTTGATGAAATCTATCATAGCAATCAAAAAGTGAATTTTGAATTATTTATAAGTTACGACTTTTTGCATTTCAAGTGACGATATGTATTAGTTGTCAAATTGTTGTGTAAAGTAGGCGTCCAGACAATTATAAAGAGAATACATTTTTCAGCAACCGCCGTTAGTGTCGTTTGGCGTGAATTTCATATTTACTAAAATATCCAAACACAAACCACTTTTTCATAATTCCGTGATTTTTCGCGATTTTGTCTTACCTCTATTTCTCAAATTAACCAAGACGTGGCCGAATTGTCCAATTCACTGTCATAAGCCATATTTTTCAACGCGGGCAATACCAATTTTTACAACGCTTACGTAGATCAAATCTGGAACTTATTTCCTCTCATAAAATCATAAAAAAATAAATAGGCCAAATTAAAAGTAAAAAACATCAATATTTTAATCAATTAATAAAGAATAAATTAAGAAAGAAAGATTAATTGTAGTACCGCCCAACGACTACCACAAAAAAATTCACGTTTCTGTTTATAAAATACGCGAAATTCAGTTACAGTTGTAAGCAGCCTTTTTCCGCATTTGGTAATTGACACATTTGTTTAATACCTGCCATTTTATTCATCAGAACCATCAAATAAATGTCTGAAAACCCCGAGCTTAAGGTCTGACCGATCAAGAAGTTATATCATAATAAAAATTAGATTTTGTGCGATTTGCACTAGAAATTTCCTGGTTTTCTCGATTTTAGCAAGTAAACTGGTCATTTAAATCGTTAGTTTTGTTTGAATAAGGTAGCCACGTCGTTTCCTTTTAAAAAACCATTTCATTGAGTTTCCAAACAATATTTTAACGTTTAACTAGCCACAGATGTAGTTCAACATGCCCTTTATTAGAAACTTAATAAAAATATAAAAATTGTCAAGGAAAACTGATTATATTTTAGTTCGAAGTCAAACTTTCTAAAGCCACTTAAGCTACTTTAATTGAATGGCACAGATATATGTATGCGCGTAGTCGTAACATTTTTTCTTTACAAATTCAATGAGCATTTTGAGAAGCTAAACATTTGATTTCACAAACGTCTTTTCATTGAATTTGTTTTATAAACGCAGCATGACAGCAACATAACTTTGCACACCCGAGGCAATCACAAGTAAGCTGAAATCAGATTTATCGCAATGCGTAAACTCAAAACGGGAACAAAAATTTGTTAACTGACGGCGTGCACACGCTGGCCTTTATACACAAAATACACACGAATTGATGTAAAGTGTTAAAAGCGCCGATGACAAGCACCAAAGGCATACATTTATCATAATACATAAATTGTAAAAGCGGGGGAGGTGAAATCAAGTGCCTGTGGACCTGCTTTCAAGCACTCTTGCATAAGTATGAATAGAGTTTAAGGCATTTACCATGGTGTGCACCCATATGTACATAAAAAGCATCGCACCCTAAATCAAAAACAGTCACAACTCAAAAAATACCAAATGTTCAGGAGAGGCAAAAACCTGTTGATGGCGTAAGCGACACAAGCAAAATCCAAACTATCTGAATAGTACCACCTCTTTTCTGCAATACTTTCTATCCGGATTTTGCTACGAATCGTAGAAATGGTATGCTGCAATCCGGATCGTATCTTCGAACTTTCGAAATTCGTAAAAATGGCAAGCCTAAAAACGAGCGAGTAAGAAATTGATAGCTTTTTTGCGTAATTTTGTACGAAAACAATTCTGTGTCGGAAGCGAGATAAAAATTAAGCAAAAAGATGAAAATCGATGTGTGTTTCCAGGAAATATTAGTGGTGTTCTTTTGAACAGATAAATTTGCCTTTCGCATATACGTACATTTTTATCCACGGCTTCATATGAAGGAACAAAAAATAATGTTTGTTGGCCCTTACTGAGAAACTTCGATACGGTTTAGTTATTTGTACAATGATTTAGGGTTGTTGTATCCGAACGCATCACCCGAATCTAAAAACTTTAACACACGTGTAGTCAAAGGATTAAACTTTAATTTAAAACAAAGGTTCTAAATTTCCGAGCTCTATTTTTTAATAAATTCAGTTTGAACCATGTATTTTTTAATAAATTTCAATGTGGGTTCTGCCCAAAAATACAGTGGATGGCGTAGCCGGAGTTACATGCATATACCTTTTACAGTAGAAGAGGGCTTCTCCGGCAACACAGAAAATACAATTCTCATTAGTAAGGCTTATAATCTCTAAGCGCGGCCGAAGGCAGAAGCAAGCGCAACTAGGTGGTGGACCTAACAAAATCCATATTTTCAATGGCTTGGAACTAGCTGTTATTGCATTAACTGGATTGAGAACCAGTTCTTCAGGCATGGGAGGAGTAATAGCTTGTGGCTCAACAATTCAACCAGAAGCTGACATAGATGCATCCATGGTTACTATGCCCGACATCTCAGCATACCTTTGTGAATCCATTGCCATAGCGCGCTCTTACTCCGCTATGTTCGAAAATGCATCAGAATCCATAATTTTCCTCAAAATATGTAAAATCAACCTGGTTGATGAGTGTTTTTTTAATTCCTTTTCACTTTGTTTTCCTTCATACAGCTGATTTCGAAAAACAACTGGTAGCTGGCAGTGCTGCATATTTTTCCGCAAGGGTTGCAGCATATCGATTTTTCGTTTTTCGTAACGTAGATACGAATCACGAGCTACGAAAATTCGGGTTCTAAAATAAGGGTGTATTTTTCCAGTTAAAGAAGAGAGCAGATGTTAGTAATATGGTTTGTGAACTGTTTTATGGGAAAAAATCAATTTCTGACAAATTTTGAGTTGTGGCTTTTTAGGGTGCGATATGTGCTCCGGAATTCACTAAACCAATTTTGCTCAATGCGCCCTTCGTTTGTATTGTGTAAGGATGATTGAATATTTGTGATAAGTTTATGATTTTTCTCCTGGAGTATAGTGCCACTGGCGAGAGCGTTAACAAGCAGTACGTACACTCAATGACAAAATACGCTGGTATGTATGCTACGACAAATTTCCGCCAGGGACCGCAAATAACGATTATCCTTTGAAATTTCAACTAAAAAAATCACGCGGAATGAGAAATGCTACGTGTATAAGGAGTAAACCAATATATTTCTTATTACTCGGAGTACCTTCAGCGGCACTGATTTTTATTTTTTAATTTTTACTTATAAAAATCAAGTTTAATCATTTTATTTTGTGTTTTATTTTTTACTCAGAAAATAATTGTTATGTTTTGAGTTTTATTTTTTGCTCGGAAAATAATCGTTACGTTTTAAGTTTTATTTTTTGCTCGGAAAATAATGGTTACGTTTTAAGTTTTTTTTTGCTCGGAAAATAATCGTTACATTTTAAGTTTTGTTTTTTGCTCGGAAAATAATGATTACGTTTTAAGTTTTATTTTTTGCTCGGAAAATAATCGTTATTTCTTGAGTTTTATTTTTTGCTCAGAAAAATAAAACTTAATTTTTGCGTATGCGTATGCGCATGCGTGAATAGACAGGGGGCGGCTGCATTGAACCTCTAACGCCAGTGTGGAGTGAGTAATGAAAATGCAGATACCAGGGCAGAAACAAAGATAACCACATTTCTAAAGAAAGAGTGCAAAAAAGCGCATACGCATACGCAAAAATTATGTTTTATTATCTGAGCAAAAAATACAACTCAAGAAATAACGATTATTTTCCGAGCAAAAAATAAAACTTGAAACTTAACCATTATTTTCCGAGCAAAAAATAAAACTTAAAACGTAGCCATTATTTTCCGAGCAGAAAATAAAACTTAAAACGTAACCATTATTTTCCGAGCAAAAAATAAAACTTAAAACGTAACCAT